CGCAAAACACGACAGATATGGATTTTCATACAACTTTTGCCGGCCGCTGCCCGCATATATCTGGCCAGTACGACAATTTTGATTTATCTTGAAGATGATTGTCAAAATAATGCTTACATTTCCAAGCATGTTTGAAAAAATAAAATTAATGTGGAACAATCTTACATATTACATGGGGCCGTATGGTCCCGGCATATAATATACCACCCTTTCCTTCTCTGTGGGTAATCGTAAGAGGCGACTAAGGTAGAGCGAATTTATTTATTTATTTATTTAGGTTCACCAACAATTGTTCCCACAAAATAATGTAAATATATATACAATTATGGAGCTTAGAACTAAGTATAACAATTTATTATAGGCAAACACAGCATATATTGATACGTTTATAGCAATAATTACGGAGGAGAGTCGTTTGCTTGGGTACCTCTGTCCCATTCGTGTTTCAAACGTAAAGCAGCTGTGTTTGCATGTCTGTGTTTCGGTTTGAAGGGTGGGATATGGCGTGAATTTACAGGGTACAGAGGAATAACACCTGAGTCCTCAGGAATGGCAACGCATGGGGGGTGTCTGACTTTTTTTATACCACTGAGGTGGCCTCAGTGGTATTAAAAACAATACAACCGAATTGAATATCTACTTCTTTTTGAAATAAATTAAAAAATAATTATACAATCCGTTAAATATGTTATTACGTACGTACTGTATTGGGGAATCCACTCTTAAGCCGATATCAATGAGGCATTGAATTCCATTCGTAATGTGTGTTCGACCGTAACATGAGATAACTAAATGAATAAGGTCAAGTTCAGTTACCACATGTATTTCAAACCAATTCACTAGTTCCAAATGTATTTCGAACATACAAAAGTTACGAAATTCAATGTTAGATTAACTTTAATTTCCTGATTTCTGGCTCTATTTTACACGGAAATTAAATACTGGGTAATCTGTTTGTTCTTCGTGCCGCTTCCTCTTAAACAAGGATTTTTGAAAAGGTTCTTACAGAACCTAAGGATCCGTAGGTAGGATTCTTAAGGTAACATTAAGTTCCCTTAGTCACCCACGATTAAGTCGAGAGATGGGCAGCAGCATCTCTCATAGAAAATCACCAAAGCCTATCTGCGGTTGTCAATCCGCCTGCCAAGCGTGACAACTACTTGCTATACCCCCCTTATTTGGGAGAAGTCTATTTTTTTTATACAACTTAGAATGGCAAACAAGCTAACGGCCCACCTGATGGAAAGTGGTAACCGTCGCCTATAGACATAGTCTATATCTAGCAGTGGACAGTAAACGGCTGATATGATGTCTTAAAAAATCAACTATAATTCAATAATAAATCATTAAAAAAATCTCACGATGGAAAATTCTATAGATTTATCTCTACGTTTGTAATGTAGATTTTTATTTATTTATTTTATTTATTTATTCATTAAAAATAATTATAACATTATAACAGATACCAGATAACAGATATCTATTAAATCCTACCACCACACAAGCTTCGAAATTATCATATAATACAATTATATTAACCAAACCAAACATTGTTACATTGTTTTATTTTGTTCTTAGAAATAAATAAAATTATATAACACATTATTCTTTCTAATCTTAATTGTTTAATAAATTATACCTATAGTAACTGCAGGTACGAATTATTAATGTTGACATAAATACGAACAAGCTCCTGTATCAATCATTAAAGATAATTTTTATTAGTCCTGACGGCCTTACTATGTCAGCACCTGTTAATACAGGTACTTACGGTATAAACTCACAAAGTATTTGTTAGGTATTAACCTAATCGAATGACCTAGCTAGAAATATTAAATATATAATATGTAGTTTTTTAATATATATCAAATCAAACCAACATATATATATATATATATATATATATATATATATGTGTGTGTGTCAGGTCTCACATATAGGTGTATCTATAACATTCCTCTATTTATCTCATGAGAAATTACTACCAAATTTCGTTAATAATAAATAATCATGAACATTTAAATGCCAACAGAATAAATTGAGTTTTTTTTTTTATGGATGATAATGGAATGGTAACCCCGCCTGCGCTATCGGTGTACGCTGGCGGGGCACCAGTGAGGGATGATAGGTCAATACGTCAAGAATAAATCACAATGGTTTCCAGGGGAAACCGCGAGGAGGTCGACCTGTCAACTGTTAGTAATGGGTCCACTAGTCTATAATACTAATAATTCCTTTCCCCGTATCATCATCATCTCATCTGTCCACTGCTGAATATAGGTCTCCCTATAGACCGCCATAAGAAACGGTGCTAAGCCACCTGCATCCTCTGTCTCTACGATGCATTTGAGGTCGTCACTCAAAACAAACCATCTTTATTCAAATAGTCTTGTTTACAAGCGCTTTAACAACATTTTTTTTAATCTACTGCAGGGTTCGATAGGTTGTTATCTGTTGGGAAGAGAGTGGGATCTAGTGGGGGGTCGTCCTACTGCGTTTGCCTGTACGAGGCCGCTTAAAAATCTTTCTTCCCTATCGGTGGTGAGTGGGGAAGAAAGGTTCTTTCCTCCCTATTATAATACGAGTATGTAGTTATTTTTCTGACGGCCTTGTCGACCTAGTTATGTTCTCTATTCAAAATCAAATTACAATTTTTTTTTTTACTCAACTGGGAATAACTATTCTGACAGTTCACCTAATAGCTTATATCACCCCTCCAAAAACTACACAAAATAAGGACAAGTGATAATAAATATGATATTATCTTAAAATAATACAGTAAATACAATAAAGTATTATTTAAAATAACATTTTAAATAATACTTTTAATACACAAACAACTGAAATAGATCTACACATACTAGGCACACACAGATTCTATGCCCATTATGTGACCACACTACCATATGGTCCCGGCATAGAAGCCACCCCTTCTTTCCCATGGGTGTCGTAAGAGGCGACCAAGGAAACTTGATGGTAGAAGGTGGGCAACAGCGTCTCTCATAAAACATCTCTATTCCCAGCAGTGGAAAGTTGAAAACTGAAATGATAAAAAATGATTAAAACAAAACAAATGATAACATGTTCACTACATACGACGCACATTGGCTCTCAGCACCAGTAGGAACACAGAGTTCTTAATAAAACTCACCTGAGGGCTCTAAAACCCAAATATACATAAGTCATAATAGAATTTACTTTGTATATGCCACTATAGACTGTTTCAATAGTACTTAAAAAAGAAAACGAAAAATGAAGTAAGTTTTAGTAGAAACTATCATAAATTTAGTAGAAACACATATTATTATACACACAGAATATTTTAGTATAACAATATATATTATAAGTAGTATGTATTTATGTGTTATATGTGTATTTCTTATGTATTATTATGTACAATTATTTCTGTATGTATTATAACTGTGTCACATATTTTTTACCACATCTGCCCTTCGTACGCTGTTTTTACCTAATAGTTAGCTGGTTAATGCCATATGGCATAAAGTTCGCCATTTGCACAAAGTTTTATCTTGCAATAAAGAATAAATAAATAAATAAACACTCTCAAGTTGAATTAAAAGAAATTAAAACAATCAGGTAATCGATTTTTTATTTGTACTACTATTGGACATCGGCAGACTTTCTTATGAGGATTTATCCTTAATCTAAGGTCTTGTTTATGGTAAATTCAGTTACTTGTTGGTTTACATTTTTATTAAGTTCTTTGGAAACAAACTATAGACAATTTTTTTTTTATGAAACTTAAAATGGTAGACAAAGTGACAGCCCATTTAATGGAAAACGGTAACCGATAAATAAATAGTACAAAAAACTATCTTATTTGATAAAGGCCTATTTCTATACTAAATAAAGTTAGTTAGTTTAGTAAACGACTAATAAATGACCTGCGTAAACAAACGATAGTTTGTTCACGAAAATAAATCCTTTTACCCTCGTCTGTGTGAAGAGGCAAACTTCGTCCTAAATTTTAATTCGAACATAATGAAACTTCCAAAATTGCTACAGAGCACACGTGCTATAAAGCTTACACGGCTTTACGTATTTTATGACATTTGTAACAAGTAAAGTTTGTTTGTGAGCCCCTTAATACAGGTGAATTTTTAGATTAACCAGTTAACGCAAGCGCCGTAAACGCCGTAAACTCGTAATTACTGGTAAACGATCTTAGGAGGGAAGAAAAGGCATTGTTAATAATTATTACTAACTAACAACCCCATTACTAGCAATATCTCCCATCAGGTCCTCCATCACGCGTTTTCCCCTGGAAAATTAATTTTCGAAGGCCAACAGCCTTGTTTCCATTGTCAACTATCGTCCCTTATTGGTGCCCAACCTGCGTCTACCCGTAGTGCATGCAGGTTACTAATCTACTATCATCCATTAAAAAAATCATTCTTAGAAAACTGCCCTTAACTTTTAGTTTTGTTTTTTTTTTTGGAAAAAAAATTTCAATCGAAAAGATGAGCACAATCTCGTAAGAATCTTATCCTGTAATTATAAAAGACTAAGGTCTGCTTACTTAAACAACCAAGAGGGAGGCTTTGTACAACTCTGTATGTGTTTCTACCGTGAAGCAGTTGAGTTTGCATGGCTGTGCTTTGGTTTGAACGGTGGGATATGGCGTGAATTTACAGGGTACAGAGGAATAACACCTGAGTCCTCAGGAATGGCAACGCATGGGGGGTATCATGGGCGAAACAGTATACTCTGTTATGTCCATGGTACTTCTCATGTCTATAGGCGTTTACCACTTTCCATCAGGTGAGCCGTCAGTTTGTTTGCCATTCTAAGTTGTATAAAAAAAAAACAACCTGTAAACTTATAGTCTGTACTTGATTCTTCCCCATATCTGATGATGTGGAGCCTTTTTTAACATGATTTTTAATACCTAACAGCTAGTTTCTTTTGGCATCATTTTTAAAAGACAATAAATAATTATATTTATATAGCTAACTATCCTTTTATATTTCTTGTTTCAGGTTTAAGCCTAAGCCACCAAATGGAATGGTCATATGATTGTAAGTACATAGTTATTTCTCTTACTTTATATACTTACACAGTCACTGGTTAAACTGTTGAAACATTAGTACATTGTAATATAGATGTTATAGATCTAAACATAAACAGAGTGTTCCAGAAAGAATTATCTATTCTTCTGGGACACTACCTGGAAACACCCCATAGTAGCGCTACTGGCCACTCAAAACGTACAATAAAAAATAAATATTTCTCAGGTAATACCTAATTAAAGTTTTTTTTTTTTAAATTACATATTTTTTTATACTAGTCTTCATTTGAGTCCCCAATAGCCCTGCTATGGAGTGTTGCCGGATTACCCATTCAGTCTGGGACACCCTGCACGTATATGTAAATACACAAAATCGGAGGCAAAACTTCATCCTCAGAAACAGCAACGCTTGAGGGTACCATGAGCGTCACAGTGTATACTGAGGTATCCACGTAACTATTAATAAAAGACAGTCACCATTTTCATAAGATGATCTGTGTGTAATTGATGTATTTAAAATTTGTTCCAAATGGATTAACCAGAGACTTATAAAAGGTACATAATGTAGTCTCAACATTTCTTTGCGAATCTACTTTTGCATCCTGAAGTGGGCACGACCCCGTTTTCAATGATGCTCTGGATGTGATATATATATATATATATATATATATATATATATATATATATATATATATTATATATATATATATATCTATACCACACACACAAATTCACACACACATACACACACACACGCACACACACGCACGCACGCACACACACGCACACACACAAGCACAAGCACACATACACGAGCACATTTATTATCATAGACACTTTTTCTTTTTTATTATATATAATTTTTTTAGTTTTATTGTATAAAAGTAAAACAAAGAAAATAATTAATGCTGATTAAAAAAAAAGGTAAACTGTAATGATTATGAAATTTAATTATTGTTATGAAAGAGCGGTTTCTCTTAACACAAGCAATCTTTGCTTAACAGGAGATACCAAACTCTGTAATGTAACTAACTACCTTTGTATAGAGAAATAAATTTATTATTATTATTATATTACGAGTTCATAAATAAATAAAAATAGAGATTTCACGTCATATAATTGGATCGCCTACTCGTGGCGGCTATAAGTCCCTGACAGAAGCGTTCACTTCAAAGATAATGCTAATGGCTTTCTCGCAGTCAGTGAATGGCTGCATCGTATAATATGTATGGTATTAAGTGCCTACCTAAACAATAAATGCGGAATGAAGACAAATCAATAACTTGACATTTTGTTAAGTGAAACTTAATCTTAATAACGTCCCTCTGAACCAGATTAGGATATTTTTCCAATGATAAGAAGATATAAAAATCTTTTGTCCAGACTGATCATTACCGCACAGCCAAAACTACTAAGTTCAGAAAACTGGAATTTCGAACGTAGGTATATTTTAAGCATTGTTTTCTTTATAATTGTTTATATTTATAATTAGTTTACTATTGTAATCTAATGGAAGAAACATTAAGGAGTATCTATCTATCTACTTTATAACCTAAACATGTGTTAAGAAAGGATTAAAAAAGAGGAAAGAGGGCACTACTGGTTCAAAACCGCTTACAGCAGCTACTAACAAGATGTTAGCTTTTTATTACCAAGCTTATTAAGTTGCTTGGTATCATTGTTTTCCTTCTCTTATACTGGTAGTGTATAGTACTTTGTTCCCGTAGTCAATTTCACAGTTTCATGTCGAACGTTTTTTTTTTTAAATCCCAATGGTTTCTACTCCATCCCGTATGCAAATTCTCTAACAATTGCAAGTCCTCTCAATTGCATTAACGCACGTTTCAATCTCTCTTACGTTGGCAATAGTGAAAACTAAGATGGGTGATTTTCAGCAAGTGGGGTTTTTATCCAATTTCAATGAACTATTTTGGTTTCGTGTATTCAGAGAAGTTACATGTCTCCCGAAAGTATTTTATAAAAGATTCCTTCTATATTTCGGGGGCATAGATTGTTCCAGGAATTCGAAATTAAAAGGACTCAGGTGTTATTCCTCTGTACCTTGTAAATTATCTGCCATATCCCATCCTTCAAACCGAAACACAGCCATGCAAACACAACTGCTTCACGGTGGAAACACGAATGGACACAGAGGTGCCCAAACAAACGACCTTTGTACAAAGTGTCCCTCTGGTAAAGTATACCTTCACCCAGATGTTATTCGGGCTTAAGAAACATATGAATAATATACTATTATTATTATTAGCTACTTAGTGACAGAACAGAAATATTCATACAAAATTTTGTATAATCTCACTTCAGGTAATTTTAATTAAAAATTTGTAATAGACGAAACCCAATGGCCTGGTGTGTGCAACAGCGGCTTCCAACAGTCACCTATCAACATCATGACCAGAGACGCGGTGCTGGACATCCACGGCTCCCACATCAGGGGACCTCTTGTGTTCAGAGGTTACGGGAACGTTGCTGTCTCTGCCATCAACAATGGGCATACGTGTAAGTCAGCCTGCGTTTTTAATGCTATGTAACTCTCAACATACTTTGTCAATGAATAAAAAAACCTAAGTTATAATTCTGGGGGGAAACGGATTGTTAGTAATAGAAACTGAGAATCCCATTGCTAGCAATATACCCAACCAGGTCGACCTCCTCGCGGTTCTCCCTGGAAACTATCATGGTTAATTCCTGATGAATTCATCATGATGGGCTAACTGTTTTCATGTTTTCATTCTCGTCTATCACCCTTCACTGGTGCTCCGCCAGCGTATCCCGTTAGCGCAGGAGGAGGCGCCGTTAACCATATCATTTTCATCCATCAAAAAAAAGTTATAATTCTAATAGATTTTATGTTAAATTTATTCTCACAATTTCTTTATTGTTATGTTTGTATTGTAACACTAATTGGTTGCCTTATATTTGTGTAATCCGTGGAGATGAGGCACTGGTGTCTTGTAACACAGGTTCTTCAAAACCTACTGCAGCCGCCAATCTCGCACAAAATTGATCTTACATATTTAATTGTACCTCGAGTTGTTTTACTACCTTTTGTTAAGAAAAAATAAACCATTCATTCATTCAATTTGTTCATTTTTTAACCCTTTCTGAATGGTCGATAATTCAAAGTATTCTTAATTAAATGTTTGTTTTTTTTTTTTGTATGATGTTTTCTAATTTAACACGATTATATCCGTACAGTTCTACGATTTAGTTCTATCATACACGGCTCTAAATTTTTTGATATTTTTTATAAATCTTTTTAGCAAGGAGTTCGATCCATGCACAGCGTAATACAAACATTTTAATTCATGTATTTTTTTGTTTATTTGTACTGATATTTTCCTATATATAATATGTACGTATTTACAAAAAAAAAAGTATTTAAATATATCTTTCAATTGCCTAGTACTAGTACATAGTATAAACTCTGCTTTGTTTGGTACACAGATGGCGCTGTACAGTTTATTTAATGATATATTTTTTATTTTTTTTATTATTGCGTGTCAATTATTACTCTAATTTTTTTTATACCATAAAGCCAGCAAATCGTCCGATGATAAACGGCCAGGATTAGGCTCTAACTTAAGAAAAGTATTTACTTATGTTAAAAAAAAGTAAGAAAACTCTTTATGATAGATTAATCGTTATGGTTCCGTACATTGTTCAGTACGAGTAGGTAGATAGATAGACAGATAGACACTTTATTTGAGCCATTTATGACACACATAAATTAACAAATGAGTTCAGACAATCAAATTGTTTGTAAAATATGCTGGTTCTTGTTATTATATATTATTTGTAAATAAAATTACCGTCTGTTGACTTGAAATATATTATGTATTTTTTGGTCTATTTCAATTGTTTATAAATTTTCTTTTTTATAAAAAACTACAATTGTCAATGTATAAAAAGGTTAATTTCGAACAAATAACACTTTCTTGAAATATAAAACAATAGATAAAATACGAAAATATGTTTTGGCCATGTGTGTCGCAGTGACCCAAATAGGCTACAGCTCAGTGATAGATTTGTTTAAAAGTAAAACACTGATTTTCAGCTGCAGCCTGAAGTTAGGCTACACGGACGCGTACAATAAACCCAGAGTGTAACCCTGTATGACCAAATCAACAAAGATAAAATTGTATTATATAGCTACATACTTATATAGATGATGCATAAATAATATATTTGATTAATTAACTATTTTTTTTTATACAACTTAGAAATGCAGACAAACTGACGGTCCACCTGATGGAAAGTGGTAACCGTCGCCTATAAACATAAGCAATATCGTGGACATAACGTACAATATAAATAATTAGGTATAAAATATATTGCATCTACATCAGTGATAAAATAATTAAGCGATCTGAAATGTAACACCACACTCGCTTTACGTATAAGGCTTCTGTGAATTTGACTGGCTTAACTTATTAACAAGCTCATGTTCGCCTAATTTCGCCAATATTTTTTAGAGACTGTGATGTAAAGTATAGATTTTCAATTTATCTGTATTTATATTTTCTATCTTCACGCCATGTATCTTGAGGAACATACATTGCTTGGGTATCTCTGTCCCGTGAAGCAGTTGTGTTTGCATGGCTGTGTTTCGGTTTGAAGAGTGGGATATGGCGTGAATTTACTGGGTACAGAGGAATAACACCTGAGTCCTCAGGAATGGCAACGCATGGGCGAAACAGTATACTCTGTTATGTACATGGTACTGTTCATGTCTATAGGCGACGGTTACCACTTTCCATCAGGTGGGCCGTCAATCTGTTTGCCATTCTAAGTTGTATAAAAAAAATCTTCGGTACAGCAAGTTTGTATAAGAAACAACCGTAAGCCACCTACATCCATTGACTTCTTACAAAGACATTTGAGATCACCACGTCAACTAGTGAGAAGTCGTTCTTTCCTGTATTTGATTGTACTAGATCGCCACTCCTTGCTTCTTTAATTATCAGCTAGTTTAAAACAAGCTAAATGTTTTTTTTTTTTTTTTTTTAATAGTAAAATGGAACGTAGTGGAAAACAGCACAGCGCCCGTTCTATCCGGCGGGCCGCTTCGAGGCAACTACACCTTGCTACAGTTCCACCTGCACTGGCTCTCCGAACACGCCATTGATGGCATGAAGTAAGTAAATATAGATACTCTTTATTGTTTCCTCCATAATCGTATAGCAATAAACTCATTATAAACACTTTATAAGAATCAGAAAACAATAATTGAAATAGGTGAAGAAAAAAAATGCTTTAATTAAACAAGGTGTAAGGCAAGGATGTCCACTCACAATACTGATATTTAATATTTTTATAAAAGATACATAAAAGAAATAATTACACTAGGCAAATCAAGGAAAAAATTGGTATCGTGTCGTATCAAGAGGTGAAGAGACTCGCAAAAAATCGTAATGAGTGGCAAAAGCTCCACCAACAAAAGCGCAGCTCTTAAATATACTCCTAATATGGATGTTTATGGGAAATGCCACTATTTTTAGTTTATGTATCTTAAATGTATAAGTCTATAGGGCTTATATATACAATTCTACAGACTAAGGGCAAATTGTTACTGTGAATTTTTACTCCCAATATATGTTATTATTAGAATAAAACCACGTGAATATCACGTATACATAGTACGTACAATCAAAAATTTTGAATCTCTTATACTAATTTGACAGGACTCACATTTCTTTGGGAATTATGTACACACATTTTAACTGATACAATACTAACCAACTATATCATATTTTTTTCCATTTAGTCAAATACCTACATATATATAAATTCGGTAACATTTACTATTTATATATTATAATATATATTAACCTTTATTATATATATATATATATATATATATATATATATATATATATATATATATGCGTTTTAAATACCTACATTCAAAATTATTTAAATCGACACGGAAGTAGATTTGCTGTGAACTGATAAGTTTAACTCATTAATTTATACTTTAGTGCTTAATATAAGAATTATCACATTATATATTATTAGGGCAGCAGTGTATTTTTAGTATCTATATAAATCTATATCTTGAGGCAATTAACAATACATGCTGATCCGAGATAAACCTATCATGAAAAGGATCGACTATCGTATCAAGTTATTGACACCTAACAATTTACCTACAATGTTTTAATAAAAAAGAAATAAAGTAAAAAGAATAATAAAGAGATATTTTTATTCGAGTAAATTTAGATTTAAACATTTTTGAATAGTCATTTTTTCATAACCGCCCATTCGAAACGCAATTTCAGCCAAGAAGAACAGGCAAGAAACTCACCTGTTGCTCTCTACAATAAGTTTAATTATATAAATAATGAATTTGTGTGAATACAAACTACTAAGCAGTATAAGATCATAAAATTTATTGTTAGTTAATCTACCATAACGTACTAAAATATTAAAGGTACTACAATATAAATTTAGTCTTAATTAATTTCACCGAACTTTATAATACATTTCACATGATCATTAAACATTCGATTATTATAAATATCTGATAAAATGATAAGAAACTAATAAATGATAAAAAATATCTAATATTGTGATTATGACTTGCAAATATATAGATACAATTCAGATTATCAACTTAAGAATAGTATATTATTATGCAGTTAATACCTAGTCGTTAGTTTATTACTTTTTATATTATTTAATCTATTATTAATATATTTATCTGAAAATAAAACTGTATTAAAATAATTATTATGTACTTATCGATAAAGTATTTATGGATTTCTTAATAAAGATTTTTTTATGCAACTTAGAAAGACAGACAAACTGACGGCTCACCTGATGGAAAGTGGTAACCGTCACCTATAGACATGAGCAGTACCATGGACATAACAGAGTGTAGTGTTTCGCTCATAATACCCCCTATGCATTGCCATTTTTGAGGACTCAGGTGTTATTCCTCTCTTCTTATTTTCATTTAAGAGTTTCCTCTTGTGGGTGCAACTAATTCATGCATCTTCTTCCAGCCAGCTGTATCCCAGGCCATATCCTTGACCTCCCTATACGACATGACATTTAGCGTTTCTCTTATCTGTCCCGTGTAGTTATTCTTCGGTCTTCCTCTTGCTTGTTTGCCATTCGAAGTTGTATAACAAAATAATAATATGAAAAGTTGTGGAATCTCTGATAGTAGTGATCAATAGTAGTGATTAATCTTCGAATGTTGGCAGTCACACACATACTAACGATAGATAGATAGATAAACTTTTTATTTGAGCCATTTATGACACACGTAAATTTACAAATATGTTTATACAATAAAATTATTCACACTTTTTAAAATATACAACAAAAGATAAAATATGAAAATAAGGTTTCGCCATGTGTAGTTGCAGTGACCCAAATAGGCTACAGCTCAGTGATGGTTTTGCTTAAAAGCAAAGCACTGATTTTCAGCTGCAGCCTGAAGTTAGGCTACACGGACGCGTACAACAAACCCAGAGAGTAACCCTGTATGACCAAATCAACAAAGATAAAATTGTATTATATAGCTACATACTTATATAAATGATGCATAAATAATATATTTTATAAATTAATTAAACATACAATATAAATAATTCACCACAATAATTATTACGTTGAAAGCAATCGCTACCAGGCGACCGACCCAAGTTTTTGTTTAGTTAATAAATGCTGTTTTAATAACTTTTTAAAAATAGATTTGGATGGTAGCACAATTAAACAAAATAATTCTAATTAACATTTGATTTTTCTATTTCCTAAAGAGCTTTCTTTTTACTCTTAGGTACCCACTGGAGATTCACATGGTGCACGTCAAAACGGGACTGACCCTCGACGAAGCGCTCGAGAGACCCGACGGACTGGCTGTTATAGGAGTAATAACAAAGGTACTTGCTATACTTATGAGTAACTTTTATAGACTAAGGAGTTAATTAGTAACGCGTACTACCATTCCCATTGCTAGCAATATACCCTGTCAGGTAGACCTCCACGCGGTTCCCCCTGGAAACAATCGTGAACAATTCTTATTGAATTCATCACGATGGGCTAACTGACCTGCTTCATCCTCATCTATCATCCTTCACTGGTGCCCCGCCGGTGTATACCGATAGCGCAGGCGGGGATACCATTCCATTTTCACCCATTAAAAAAAAACTGACCTGCCTTTTTATTCTCACCTATCATCTTTCATTGATGCCCCGTCAGCGTATACTGTTAGCGCAGGTGGTGTTACCACTCCATTGTCATCCATTAAAAAAAACTTATCGACTGGAAATAAAGGTAATGGGCCGCCAGTCCCCTTTGCAACTTACATACTATGTCAGGTCTATAAGAATTCATACAGATGACCTTCAAATTTGACCGACATCAAACACAAATTTACTAATATTATAATATGGAAAGATGAAAGAATTTATTGTTTGTTTATATATATATATATATATATATATATATATATATATATATATATATATATATATATTTCCTTAAGAACCCTAGTAATATATATAATCATGAACGCCAGGTGGTGGGCGGGTATGAAGAAGCCAGCAGCTTCGCTCTAGAAGAAATAATGCCTGTGGTCCCTGACCTCCTCGACCAGAATGTGGAATCATCGGAAATTCTTAACATTGATATGAAGTAAGTACCAGTTATGTCATCCCTGCATTGTCAATATGAGTAACGAGGGGGAAAGGGATTGTTAGTAATGGAGACTGAGAATCCCATTGCTAGCAATATACCCAACTAGATCGAGCTCCTCGCGGTTTTACCTGGAAACTATCATGGTTAATTCCTGATGAATTCATCATGATGGGCTAACTGGCCTGTTTTCATTCTCATCTATCACCCTTCACTGGTGCTCCGCCAGCGTATCCCGTTAGCGCAGGCGGGGTTACCATACCATTTTCACCCATCATAAAAAAAGCGTAACTAAAGAAACAAAGCACCATGCACCAGAGCAAGACAAGAGAATTTCAAAATAAATCTTATCGGTATCAAATTTTATTTTGATATTATATTTTCTTGTGACAGGGTTGTCGCCTATCCGTTACAAACCTTATTCATATTATAAATATGAAAGTGAGTTTATTTTTTACTCTTTAGCGGTTTAATGGCTTTATTTAGCATTATGAAATTTTGTAAATTATACGTCATGTGGTTCTGGCATAGAATAGGCCGTCGCTTCCTTTTCCGTGGATGTCTTAACAGGCGACTAAGGCAAGGCGAGAGATGGACAGCAGCGTCCCTCTTAAACTGCAAAGCCAAAATGCCAAGCGTGGCACTTACTGGCAAAACCCTCCAGGGAGAAGGCTTATGTTCAGCAGTGGACAATTAAAGGCTGATATGATGATGATGATGAAATTTGATAAACAGGTTTGAGGACATAAGATACTTTTATCTCGAAAAATCAATACATATATCCCAGTCATATGGATCAAATTGCACATAATAGGCAACTACATACTGTGCATGTACATTGATACATATAAATGGTGCGAAAGGGATTGTTAGCAATGGAGTTTGACAGCCCCATTACTAGCAATATGCTTTATTAGGTCGACCTCCACGTGATTCCCCCTGGAAACCATCGTGAACAATTCTTGTTGAATACGTCACGATGGGCTAACTGACCTACTTCATCCTCACTGGTGCCCCGCCGGTGTATACCGATAGTACGGGTGCGGTTACCATTCCGTTATCATCCATTAAAAAAAAATACATATAAATAAACAATGAAGAAAATATATACAGACACAGGATCTCCTTCGGATAAAATCAACTTTTTACAATGGACCTTTACTACAAGACGTACTCTTTGCCCTTGACATAACTAATACTAATGCCAATGCCGAATTATCGACAGCCAATGATGCACAATTACAAAGAGCATGACAAATTTGAGGGCCCTTAAGTCACAGTATAACAAGATGACAAACGCAAAACTAATTCTCAATAGACTACAAAAGTACTTACAAGTTTATAGAACAAAAAAACAGAAGCCCAACTGTTTCCATTAATCGATACGACTGAGTGTTAAAACTAGGCATGGAAATTATTGCTACTTTTAATTTATTATCATAATATAACGTAGTTATTATTTTTTCACAGAGTTATTAGCTGTTACAAATGATAAATGTGATTTTCGCTGACAATGTTTTAGTGTCGCACTCGCTACTATTTGATAATGAATAAATATGAATTATGATTTTTAAAATAAGAGCGAGCGAATAGAAACTTTAGCGCAGTGTGATAAAATCTGTATTCACTCGTCTTTACAGCCCAGTCGGCCAACTCTTCAATGTCACTGCTATCCAGGCGCAGCTAATTCGCGAATAAAACCGAACGCAGCAAATATCTGTGATTTCTTTAAAATTATTTGTAGCAATCTATATGATGATTTGTCGTGATGTGATTAGTCATGTAACAAATTAAATTTAACCTACTATATATGAAATATTCCAAGCCTAGGTGAAACCCAACTTTTAATGGTAGGTAAAAAAAGAAATGAATATTTTATGGAGAAAGAGAGACACTGCAGTTGCGGAGGAAACAGAAACTAAAGTAAAATACTAACTGTGTATATTGTTTGTTCAGTCGGCTGTTCAGTCCAGAGCCCCAATCGTTTTACACGTACCACGGCTCCCTCACCACGCCGCTGTGCCAGGAGGTGGTCACCTGGATAATCATGGACAAACCCCTTACTATATCTGATACACAGGTAAAGTAAATAAATCCTGTTTGCTTTCTATCATTCCTATCAAAGATAAAACTAGCTTCCCCCACTAATTTATACGAATGAATTTCAGAAATACAAGTTATCATTTCAATAGTAGAACAATGAAATTTGCCATTTCTAGATAACGTATCAGAATAAAATATTGTACAAAATAAACCAGATTTTAAGTTGGACCTTCAGGAATATCGCAGTAAAAATTGCATCGAATTTAGTCCTTATTATGCCAGAACAAACATATAAAGAAAAGGACAGACAAAATTGCTAAACTTTATTATTTTGCCTTCTGTTGCTCTTATTAAATCGCCTTATCTTCCAAACATCGTATATTCACAATTTTATTAGTAAGATCTTATAGAAAAGCCGAAAGAAAACAAAGTAATAAAAATATACAAAATTCCCCAAGGAACATGGGTCGATATATAAAATAACTAGCTATACCCCACGGCTGCACCCGTAGTCGTATTGTGATTTTGTATAACCTATAATCGTCCTCAAGAAATGTCTCCTGAATGAGCTATGAAATGAAAAAAAAATTCAACGAAATTGATAACTCCAGAGAACCCGTTCAAACAAATTGTTCTCCTTTATTATATTAGTATATATTTAAAGAACAGATTCATTGTATGTTCTAATAATTAATAATAATAATAAATTTTATTTATTTATCTTACATCTTTTTTTACTACAATGAAACACGATAATACCATAGATTCATCAAAAATGTAGAGAACAGATGCCTGAACTGGATATCCAAAGAACACGTATCACAAGTCTTCAGGGCCCCTCCCTGGCATGAAACAATTTACGGTAATACATATAAGGAAGAACTCAAAAGATGTTAAACGTAGTAGATACAAATACAATACGTACAAATTATTGAGATTTAATTGAAATTGAAAAAAATTCAAACCAAGCATGCTTAAACATTTAATGAATTATTAAAAAGGATTTAAACATGTATCCTCTACGTCATGCCAATACCGTGAAGTCTTATAAACATAAAATTGATATTCTTTCATATTGTTAAAAATTTAATAAGCACACTTTATATTTTAATGTAATCAAAAACAGCTCGCGTAACAGTCGCTCATGACTAAAGATCATGAATTGGTTCCGAAATTAGTCGAGCTTTTTCGATCTACATAATTACACGTAAGTTAAACCGGTAGCTATTACATTAAGATGTTCTTTCTGTATTTACTTGTTAGTTTCTTTTGGATTTAGAATCAAAAGGACATAGACAAACTTATTATGAGCAGCAAGGGAGTAAATTCTGTTGATTGCAATAAGAATTATTAAAATCAATTCAATGTTGGCAAAAATATCGGATAAAAATACAAGCCTATTGAGGACCATTGCTTTTTTAAAGGTCTTATGTTATCATCAGGGTTGCCAGGTGCGGTTTCTATGTTTTACCCAAATGACAAATATTTTCTCTCCATATCGACACTATTTCCTTTACTTTTATCTAACCATAAACTTGTATCGATTTTCATTATGTTCGACCATGAATTACAATACCAACAATGAAAAAAAACGCGCTTCCGTATGTTTCTAAATTTAGCTGCTTTGTTTTATGGCATCTTTTGTTTTGCTATCTTCATTCATATATTTTATATACCGCTACGCGTTTTACAAATATCAAAACTGCCAAAATATTTATCCATATTTCCCCAAGCCCATTTAACTTTTCTCCAAGAATTTCTAACCTCCAAAATTTCGCGGTCAGATAAATATGTGCCTAAAATTGCAAAAAAAATACCCAATCTGGCAACACTGGTTATCGCATCCATATTTATTGTGCTTGCAAACGAGTATTACAGAATACTACTCTTCAACAGTACAAAGTGTTCAGCAAAGTCAACGTCGGCGGTATAGACAATTACCGCAGTCTGCAGCGGTCGAACCGCGTCGTCTACCGGTCCGTAGCCTCTTGCTCCTACGCTCTCTCACCCAGTATCTTGGGCGTGCTCGTCACCGTCTTCAGATGCCTCGCCTCCAAAGTAACACAACAGATCCACAAAGGCATTTGCTACATCGGCAACGCCAAAAGAAAAATATTCGGGAACACTCTAATAGAATGCAGCAAGGTGCACATTTCGTAATTTTTAACTCCATGATAATAAATTAATGTACTGTCTTGTCCCTGATCATGTTATAAGTGCCATTTGTCTTGTGTTTTTTTTATGTACACAAATAACAATGTACTGAAGTATTATTTTGATTTTTAAAATGGCTTGACTGTTCGGGGAGTTTAAAACCCAATTGTATGAACATAAATGTACTGTAAATGTATGACTTTAATATTACACCCTCAGAACGAAGGCCTGTTAAACTGGATGCATTACGGAAAACAAATGCTAGTATGATTTGGCGTAAGACGGATTTCTTAAACCCCAGACCTGTCTTTTAACTCCCCAGAGATTTTTAAAAATATACTGTACTCGCATTTTTCTGTTGGTATGAGTATTATGTATACCGAACCGATATCCATATATTGGGTCTCTCTAGACGTTGAAGGCGGAAAAGAAGTCATCGCCCATTTCGATTTCGCCCATATTGCCCGGGTATTTATTTTCAAATATGTTAAAATTCTGTTACCCAATTTAATTTTTTAGACAACAGACTTTTGACATATTTGTTATTGGGCCAATATATATAGTACACACTCCTAGTTTTCTGAAATTCTCTGTGAATATCTATCTGTAAGAGAATATTGTCTTCTCAGGTTGAAGAATATATTTAACAAACGAAATGTTTCATGAATAAATATAAGATAGAAACGACACAACCAATAATGATAAAAACATAAAAGAATTACTGTACACAAAAGAAACTTATAACAGTGATTAGCAATATTCCCCGACTTTACACGGGTGCAAATTAGTATGTCTTGTGCATACAAATCTGTAAAAAATATCTAAATGACAGTGAAACTCCTATCAAAATCCGTTGAGTAGTTTAGAAGAAATAAGCGGAGAAACAAACAGATGCGAATAGCAACTTTGTTTTGTACTATTAGAGAAGAGATGAACAAAAAAGAAATATTGGTATTAAAAATCATATGGGAGTGAACAAGTTAACTTCTTACTTAGCGATGATTAATGATTCTATCGTCAAAGTAGCAATGAGGGACACCATGGGCGTCACTGTATGTCGTGATATCCACGGTGCTGTACATGCATATAGGCGACGGTTACCAGTCTCCATCAGGCGGGCCGTCAGCTTATTTGTCATTCGCAGTAGCTGAAAAAGATAAGTTATTTTCTGTAACTCTACCGCCAGTAGAGTTTTATGTAATTTAACTATATTAATGAATAGATTTATCGGTATGGAATTTTTAACAAAATATACAAGGGATAGGTTGGCCATACGCGCTTCTTCGTAGGTAGTTTCGTACGCTTGCACCGTTGACCCAACACAGCCGATTCTGCTGTTGATTTTTGTTGTTACACAAAATAATAAATGACTGTTGACGACCTTGCTGTTTTTTAGTATTTCCTAATACTTCACTGTAAAGTATCATTATTTCTTTATATTTTGACATAATATTCAAAGATAACGACTTCAAATGAAAAAAAAAAATTTTTTTCCGGAAAGAATTTCCATTGATTTTCAGTTTAGAATAAAGATATAATTTCACTGTTTCAACCTGTCCCTTACAACTAGTACAGATATAAAGAAGGAATAATAATTTTCATTAATTATTAAGTAAACATTATTTTACCAATAAAACAAAACACTCTATCTTATTCTACGTATCGTATTGTCCAAGATATAGAACGTAATAATATCAAGTAAATATATTTTTAATGTTTTTTTTTTTTTTAATTAAGTGCTCATCCAATGCAATTTAAAATCTAGTATTATTAGTATTTTGTATGTACCTAATGTACCTAATATCACAGTGTATTGAACGTTACATAAAGAGCTTGTCCAGACAGAGAAATACGTCCCGAATTATTATAAATAATAAATTAATAATAAAATCATTTATTCAGAATAAAAAAACAATATTAATGACAACGTTATACATTAAAATATTAATACTGTGGTAGCAGATGAAATGCTTACCACTCAGCTTTAGCTGCAGCGTGGTGCTGCAGCGCTGATTTCCAGTGAGACCACCACTCGATAGGTAGCTCTCGAGAAATAGGATTGAATCTATAATACAGTTTTAACTGAACCTTATACATGACATCAATATAATATATAAATATAATAATATATTATTTATTGTATAACATATATACGACACAACGAGCTATAATGAAGATTGATCAATTACTACCAGAGGGAGACTTTGTACAAAAGTCGTTTGCTTGGCCACCTCTGTTCCATTCGTATTTCTAACGTGAAGCAGTTGTGTCTGCATGACTGTTTCGGTTTGAAGGGTAGAATATAGCAGTGAATTTACAGGATACAGAGGAATAACACCTGAGTCCTCGGGAATGGCAACGCATGGGGGGGTATCATGGGCGAAACAGTATACTCTATAATGTCCATGGTACTGCTCATGTCTATAGGCAACGGTCGCCACTTTTCATTAGATGGGCCGTCAGCTTGTTTGCTATTCTAAGTTGTTTAAAAAAATTATCTGTCAAATTTACAGTTTTTGTACTAGAATCAAATATGTTTTTGAAATTTTATTCGGGATATGTTAATTGTTACACTGTACTAGTATTATTATTAATTTATTACCATAGATTTAGATAGTTTGTTCTAGAATTATTAATGTGATATGAAAAGTTATTAAAATGCCTTTTTTTTTATTGGTAATCCTTATCTTAATAGGGGCTTTGTGTTTGATGAATGCCGTAAAATGTTCTATTATAATTTATAATTTAATCTTTCACAATTGGCCTAGATTAGACCAATTGCTGTTTGATACACTTGACCGATAGCTAATAACTTTAAGTCTATCTGTCACATATCCTTAATCATATCATGTCTAGCCGATGTTATACCTGTATCTATAAATCTAGAGTTGTTAACCAAAATAAATATAATTGTGCCAAACCAAATAATATATCCATCAAATATATAAACTATATGCCTTTGTAAAATTAAAATATTATATGTTTTTTCTTCACTATTATTGTCATTGTTTTATTGCTTAGTCTATCCAGTGCATTTAGTTAAAGCACCTTTATAAAATCATTTTTCTAAAATCTGTGTTTTGTTTTTAAAATTAAAAGATACTTTATTTCTAGGACTTTTTACCGTTTAGTACCATATTCCATCCACACTAAATTAAAACATTAAATTATTAGTATTATCCACAAGATTTTAAATGCAAGTATGGAGTCATTAAAAAAACCATAGATATAGAAATACATTTTATGCATATTCTAACTATAGTTTTTACTATAGTTAGAATATGCATAAAATGTACTGATAACATGCATATAACCAAGTCACATAGCTATTTCAGTAATTCCTAATATTAATACTTCGCGCGTTCCGAAACATGCTTACCTATTCCCAGGATAACATGGGCTTAAAGATGTGACATAGAAAAAAGAAATATATTTCTTTTGTCTATGGTTTTATCTATGAATACACCACACCCATAAAGATGAAATTATATGCCCCAATTGAGAAATTTTGCTCAAATTAACGACTTTGTTATTTTATTTACATATTTTATTGGAAGGATAAAAAATCATGTTTAAGTGTTTATAGGTACGAAAGTTAATGATAAATATTATGTTTAAACAATTTTTAATTTAATTATTTATTGTAAAACCTATAACTTGCCATTATGTAAACTAGAATATAAATAGACTGTAATTTCAGAAATGTTTTCATAAATAACAGAGGGAGACTTTGTACAAAAGTCGATTGCTTGGGTACCTCTGTCCCATTCGTGTTTCAACCGTGAAGCAGCTGTTTGCATGGCTGTGTTTCGGTTTGAAGGGTGAGATATGGCGTGAATTTACAGGGTACAGAGGAATAACACCTGAGTCCTTAGGAATGGCAACGCATGGGGGGTGTCCTGGGCGAAACAGTATATTCTGTTATGTCCATGGTACTGCTCATGTCTATAGGCGACGGTTACCACTTTCCATCAGGTGGGCCGTCAGCTTGTTTGCCATTCTGAGTTGTATAAAAAAATAAAAAAAGTAAAAATAAATAGTAATACATTGTTAAGTTAATAACGTCGGTTTTATTTGTTATAAAATTTTCATAATCTGTAACAATTTATTGGTTTTTAGAGTGAAATCTAACAGCATATTGTTCAATTTATGTTTTAATTTAAATATACAGGTAAAAAAAAATAATAAAATAAAAGAAAAATAGAGTAAATAGTACGATATTTACTTTTTATATAAGTTAATTTTATACTTTACTCTTCACTATTTATTTTGTAAATGGATTTTATACTTTATTGTTTATTAATGTGAAACGATTTTATATCAAAGCCCTGAACTTCGACAGCCGAATAATAACTATTTAACAGCATGATGTAACTTTAATGTTTTAATAAATTTTAATTAATTTGATGGCAAACAATTTGTTTGTATCTTACGATAATACAAAGAAGTGTATTTTTTTTTATAGATGATAATGGAATGGTAACCCCGTCTGCGCTAACAGTATATGCTGGCGCGGTACCTGTGAAGGATGATAGGTGAGGATGACAGAGCAGATCAGTTAGCTCATCGTGCTGAATATACCTGGAATTCAGCACGATGGTTTCCAGAGGGGACCACGTGGATGTCGATCTGACAGGATATATTGCTAGCAATGGGACTGCTAGTCCGCATTACTAACAATCTCCTCCCACCTAAACAAGTGTATTTATATTTTCATTTTCTAATTCTAGTCTGAGGTCCTCTCTTATAAAATCAGCGTTTGAAATATTCTTTTACTTCCAAATATCAACCAATAAATGTATCTGATAATTGACTAACTTATCTGCATTTATATCTATACATGTACATACCTATACATATATAACATCTGAATCCTTACGAATGTCAACACATGGGGTGTATCATGGGCGAAACAGTATACTCTGTTATGTCCATGGTACTGCTCATGTCTATAGATGCCGGTTACCACTTTCCATTAGATAGATCGTCAGCTTGTTTGCCATTCTAAGTTATATATAAGTATAATTTACAGTATATAAGTATAATTTGTACATATTTATATGATTAGTATAATTAAGCATATTTAAAAACATTCAAATATTTATCCATAATCAATAATTAATATTATAAAATTGTATTTGAAAAAAAATAAATAGAAATTTCTTTACAATAGAAAAAATAGGTCTTAAGTAACAAAAACTATTTGACACAAATTAAATTTTTAGAACAGATTTAGATATTAATAATTATTATATTTTATTTAAATCATTCTAACGGCTGTGAAGCGGATTATACTGGATAGAAAAGTATTTAGGTATGTGTAAATTTGAATGATTGTGCAATATGAAATGATTGTTCTGTTAATTCCTTTTCGACTATTTTATATAAGTATAATTTAAAATGTAAACAATTGTTATATTACATATCAGTATAAATAAACGCTCATAGTAAATTATAATGCATTTTTATTAATCGTCAAAATAAATATAACCCCAACCATTATTTGTTTTTTTTTTTATGAAAATGGCATAGTAACCCCGCCTGCGCTATCGGTATACACTGACGAGGCACCACTGGCAGGTCAGTTAGCTCATTGATTGATGAATTTAGTAAGACTTAATTGCAATAGTTTTCAGGGGGTCGACCTTATAGGATGCATTGCTGGCAATGGGGCCATTACTAACAATCCCTTTACTAACAATCCCTTTCCCCCATTATTTATCTGTTGGATCGTTCTAGACCAGGGATCGGCAACCTTTTGAGACGAAAGAGTAAAAAATTACGATTTACAAAATTTCAAAGTTTTTAAAGAGCCACAACATTTTTTCTTGCCGTTAATAAATAGTAATTTCATAAATAAAGTTTAGTGCCTAATCCTCATTAATCGATTCAAATTTTTTTTTTATAAAACGCAGCATTTTTTTTTGTAAGCCGCAGGTTACCGGCTCCTGTTGTAGACTTAACAATACTATGACAAATAACGGTGATGATGATGATGATGAGGATTATGATAAGTCCTGACCGTTTTCAATCACAGCAACCACTTTGACTGTTTGTGGCGTTGATGTGCTCGGATGTGGCTTACATAGCCAATCTTCCAAAGTTCCTTGCACATAGCGAACATGCAAGCATACCAAATAACAGGTAAGAAATAAAACTGCTTTATCAAAGTATCCTAATAGAATCTCAAAACAATTTGAAATGGAAAAATGCTAGTGTCTAGCGATGCCCAAACTTTCATGGCATGCTACAGACTAGAAGTCGATAAAAACAATTACAATCTATTGATATTAAATTAACATTATTTCGATAAAACTGAAATAACAAGAAGTAGGTGATCCAAGAAAATGTAATAACAAATGATGCGTCATCTAACATAATTCTATTACTCAACAGATGATGTTACTGATGATAATATTAATGTTTTTTTTTCCTTAACTATCATCGATTCAACATTCTAATTTCACTGAAATTAGATTTTTTTTTATACAACTTATAATGATAAACAAGCTGACGGCATACCTGATGGAAAGTGGTAACCGTCGCCTATAAACATGAGCAGTACCACGGACATAACAGAGTATACTGTTTCGCCCATGATACCCCCCATGCGTTGCCATTCCTAAGGATTCAGGTATTATTCCTCTGTACCTAATAAATTCACGCCATATCCCACCCTTCAAACCGAAACACAGCCATGTAAACACAACTGCTTCATAGATATAACAGACACAATCGATCGAATACCAGAGGGAGACTTTGTACAAAAGTCGATTGCTTGGGTACCTCTGTCCTATTCGTGTTTCAACCGTGAAGCAGTTGTGTTTGCATGGCTGTGTTTCGGTTTGAAGGGTGGGATATGGCGTGAATTTACTGGGTACAGAGGAATAACACCTGAGTCCTCAGGAATGGCAACACATGGTGGGTATCATGGGCGAAACAGTATACTCTGTTATGTCCATGGTACTGCTCATGTCTATAGGCGACGGTTACCATTTTCCATCAGGTGGGCCGTCAGCTTCTTTGGCATTCTAAGTTGTATAAAAAAAAATGTATTATCCATCCCTATTTTATTAGCTGATCTTTATACGAAAACGTAACAGAGTTACTTTGGCATTTAGAATATTAACACAGAATTGAAGCAAGGGAACTGTCATGTCTGCAAAACAAAAATTCATAAAATAAACAAGATAAAAGATTTACCGGTGATGTGGAATTAAAAAAGGATGCCTCGATAATTGGGTGATGTAATTTTTATTTCTGTTAATCTAATCGTATCTTGATTTTTGTGGTGAACAATAAATTGTCTATCTACATAAGCAGCTTAGTTTCTGCGGAACTTAGCTACGAAGGAAGAAAGTGAACACGAAAACGATGGATGTAAGAAAAAACCGGTCAAGTATGAGTCGAAAACATATACTAAGGATTGCGTACATAAAATAATATTTAAACAAGTTTTGTTTTCTTTAGACTTTTTTTAGTCATAAATGTGATAAAAAATAGGACTGCATCACTAACCTTAATTGTGCCGTCCAATTTTTGTTAATTTTTTTTGATAATTTCTCAATAACAATAGTAGTTAGAAACAGGCCAAATAGGCGACGTGCTAAAGAAGGGCCAAATTAAAAGTACCCGTAACCGGCGAGCGTGTATGAAAAGATTGATGAATGTGGAGGAAGCGAAAGAGGTTTGTTTGAATCGAAGCATTTGGCGTTCCATTGTTTCTGCCTACCTTAATGGGAGACAGGCGTGACGGATATGTATGTATGTATGTAGTTAGAAACAGCATTCTATTTTTCCTGTAATATTTACGTATTCCTTTATTTATAATCTAACAATTATTTAGATAATGGTTTTTCACGTTCCTTTATAAATTAAAAAAACAATGTATCAACTTTTCCCCTGTGATATATACGTATACCTTTACAAGGCAAGATTATTTTGAATTTACATTTCCCCTCATATGATTATAACAATGCAACAAAAAAAAAACAAATTATTTTGTAATGAAATTCTGAAACTGCGTAGAGATGTTACATCTCTGTGCATCTTCTACCGAATTTATCATGGGGAGTGTTCTGAGGTATTGTTCGGATTGATACCTGCTGCTGATTTTCACCACCGTACAACCCGCTATAAACTAAAATTTCATCCCAACCATCTGGACGAGTGGCGGTCCTCCACCGGGCGTTTTTCAAGGCACTTTCTCCCACGCACAACCACTCTTTGTAATCAACTTCCAGCAGCAGTATTTCCGAACCGATACGACAACATAACCTTCAAGAAAAGAGCATATTCCTTTTTAAAAGGCCGGCAGCACACCAGCAATGCCGTAGGTGTTATGGGTGACCATGGACGGCGGTAGTCATTTACCATCAGGTGAGCCGCATGCTCGTCTGGCCCCTGGGTTGTAAAAAAATTTACAAATGAAGTTCTTTCATAATGGCGCCATAAGGGTTCTTTTGTAATTTTTCGCTTGTAGGTTTCTTTATTTCCTTATCCATTTTTAGTACGGAACCCTAAAATATATAAGGAAACTTACCTCGACGACCACATGTAACGAAGTAATCATGGTTTATTATTAATAATAATCACTGTCAATATGAGTATTATAAAAATAGATTACATACGAATAGATACGTACTGCGTCGGAATAGATATTACTCCATTAACTACAATGGTATTTATTTAATAGTTTTTTTTTTTTTTTTTTTATAATACTCAACTATTTTCAAAGTCTTATTTTGATTTTTTTTAATATGATACATTTTTTTATGCATTCAAGAATAACAAACAGGCTGACGGCCTACCTGATGGAAAGCGATAATCATCGCCTATAGACATGAGCAGTTCCATGGACATAACAGAGTATACTGTTTCGCCCATGATACCCCCTTAGGTGTTCTTTCTCTGTACCCTGTAAATTAACTGCCATATCTCAACCTTCAAACCGAAACACAGCCATGCAAACACAACTGCTACACGGTAGAAACACGAATGGGACAGAGGTGTGCAACCAAACGACTTTTGTACAAAGTCTCCCTCTGGTAAAGAATGATCCATCATCACCATCAGATCAGCCATTATCTGTCCACAGCTGCACATAATCCTCTGCTATAAGGGACGGTTCTAAGCCACCTGCATCCACTGACTCACTGCAATGCATTTGAAATCGTCACTCCATCTAGCGGATGGTCATCCTACACTACTTTACGTTACATGATTATCTTCTATTCTTAAACACGGGTGGAACAAAGGTCTTCCACTTTGAACTTGAAACATCTCTTGGACCTACTGGAACATAATGTAAAAAATAATTGTACTATGTCTAGAGGGACCGGCATGATAAATGAATGATAGGAGAGAGTTATTATGAAGACTGTGATAGATAGATAGATTATTTATTTGCATTACTTACAGCACACAAATAACAACATACATACACAGTAAAAAGAGATAAAAGAATGCATATACAAAAAAAGCAAAATATATAAAACAAGTAACAACTTTTTCTTTCATACGTGTGCCATAGTAACACAAAATGATCACAACTCAATTTATTGTTTTGCTCTTTCGAGAGCAACTGATATTCTGTTGTGGCCAAGAGCTAGCCGCGAAATTCCTTAATAAAATTAATAAACTGTCGCGAAAGCACTTCAACTGTACCTCGACTGCTTAAGTTTGTGGATGTAGTAAAATATACCTATGAGGACAATTGAAGAATGAGAAGACGGGACGGGACTAGCGGTGATTTAGTCCGGATGTAACACTTACGGTCGCCACTTGCGTAAGACTTGCTCTTTATTTAGATATAGGCCGGGACGCTGTAAACACTGGATACTGTTACACAATATTATCTGTAATTTTGTATTGTATGTACAGTCGTATATACAATACAAAATGACATAGGCCTCCCTCATAAAGGAGGTTTTGCTAGTAGCTGCCACGCTTGACAGGCGGGTTTTTTTTTTTAACAAGTGATAATGGTATGGTAACCCCGTCTGCGCTATCGGTATACAATGGCGGGGCACCAGTGATAGATGACTAATGAGGATGATAGCAGGTCAGTTGGCCCATCCTGACGAATTCAACTAGAATTAGCCACGATGGTTTCCAGGGGGAACCACGTGGAGGTCGACCTAACAGGGTATATTGCTAGCAATGGGACTGTCAAGCTCCATTGCCAACAATCCCTTTCCCACCTGACAGGCGGGTTGGCAACCGCAGTTTGGTTTGTGGTGATGTTTTAATAGCTTGACCTTTAAGTTTTCTTAGCCGCATCTTACGACGTTCACAGGAAAAAAATCTTTCTGTTTTATACAACTCAGAATGGCAAACAATCTGACGACCCACCTGATGGAAAGTGGTAACCGTCGCCTATAGACATGAGCAGTACCATGGACATAACAGAGTATACTGTTTCGCCCATGATACCCCCATGCGTTACCATTC